CGTATCAAAGACATAGATAACTACCTGTATAAATGATCGAAAATTTTCGAGACGTTCCGAGAATCTTGTTTCCGAGGATATCGAATGGCCCATAGAAGCTTCCAAAACTCAGCAATATATAGGCGTGAACCCACTGAGACAAAAAAATCTTTTCTGACACAATGCGAAATGCTTGATTTCTTACATCATAGAATTCTTAATTTGCTCCCTGTGTGATTAAAAAAAACATCGCTACGGGCTCCATCGATTGGTCACCTCAGTGGAGGCATTGCATTCTTCGCCTGTCTTTTCTCTAATTGTATGCAATTGGCACTCATACCACATCTTCTTATTTCTATTATAAATGATTCTAACGTGATGACCAGAGGAAAAACATGACGCATTCGAAAAGTGGTTGAAGTGACACTCGATACCCCTACTACCGGACTATAAGTGATTACAAGTAATGGTTCACTTGTCTGACATAATGTCGGCACATATCCTTCAAAAGTTTCATTGCTTGTTTGTGCACAATTATATTATCAATCTACGGTATGTATAAGATCAAGTGATAAGATTAAGATGATATTTGTTGTGTTTTAATTTCAACTTCAATAAAACATAAAACGTCTTGATATTTTGCAAGTTCTGAATTTTGAATTTTGAATTCTGAATTTTGTATTCTGAATTCTGAATGATCCTTCTCGACTTTCGTATAAAAACAATTCTTCTTGATTTCGAGTAAAGTCTCCGAAAAATTTTGAATGATATTATCAAATTTGTAAAAACTTACCAACACTTTTATCAAATGGTATACTAATGAGCATTAAAAATATTATTTAAAGCTGCAGACAATAAATTGTAAACACGTACGAGAAAACATAAGTGTATTCTTACGGATTGATCTATTTTTGCAAAAAACGCTTAATGAAAAAATATATAATATAGTTTTGTTAGATTATAAATTTATTTATTGCTTAAACAATGTACAATTCTTTACCAGTTTTTATTAATAATTCAAAAACCACTTTTAAATCGAAAAGTATGATTTATTTTTTTTTGAAAAAAACAAAGGAAAATTAAGTGGTGATGCACAACTTACATGCAAAAGCAATGTCGAATAAGAAAAAAAAGCCAGTTTTTCTTGATTTTGAGTAAAGTCTCCGAAAATTTTGAATGATATTATCAAATTTGTAGAAACTTACCAACCCTTTTATCAACAGGTTTTTCTAATGATCATTAAAAATACTTTTTGAAGTTGCAGACAATAAACTGTAAACACGTACGAGAAAATATCACAATATTCTTACGGATTGATCTATTTTTGCAAAAAACACTTAATCAAAAAATATATAATATAGTTTTGTTAGATTATAAATTTATCTATTGCTTAAACAATGTACAATTCTTTACCAGTTTTGATTTATAATTCCAGGAAAATCTTTAAAATCGTCAAATCTACTCGCAAAATGTGTGGAAAAATTGTCTAGCGACATTTTTATCAGATATATCCGAGTGACCGTTAGAAAAAGTGTAAACATGAAGATCAAAAGACAAAACAGCAAAGAATAGTTTGCCTAATATAATTGCATTGAGAAGTATGATTGTTTTTTTCATCGAAAAAGCAAAGGAAAATTAAGAGGTCAGGCATAACTGACATGCAAAAGCAATGTCGAAGAAGAAAAACAAAACCCATTTTTTCTTGATTTCGAGTAAAATCTCCGAAAAAATTTGAATGATATTATTAAATTTGTAGAAACTTACCAACACTTTTATCAGCAGGTTTTTCTAATGAGCATTAACAATACTATTTGAAGTTGCAGACAATAAACTGTAAACCCGTACGAGAAAATATCACAATATTCTTACGGATTGTTCTTTTTCTGCAAAAAACACTTAATCAAAAAATATATAATAAGGTTTTGTCAGATTATAAATTTATTTATTGCTTAAACAATATACAATTCTTTTCCAGTTTTTTATTAATAATTCCAGGAAAATCTTTTAAATCGTCAAATCTACTCGCAAAATGTGTGGAAAAATTGTCCAGCGACTTTTATAACAGATATATCCGAGTGACCGTTAGAAAAAGTGTAAACATGAAGATCAAAAGACGAAACTGCAAAGATAGTTTACCTCATATAATTGCATTGAAAAGTATGATTTTTTTTTTTCGAACAAACAAAGGAAAATAAGTGGTCGCGCACTACTTACATGCAAAAGCAATGTCGAATAAGAAAGAAAAAATTTTTTTTTTTTAATTTCGAGGTAAGTCTTCGAAAAATTTTGAATGATATTATCAAATTTGTACAAACTTACCAACACTTTTATCAACAGGTTTTTCTAATGAGCATTAAAAATACTTTTTGAAGTTGCAGACAATAAACTGTAAACACGTACGAGAAAATATAACAATATTCTTACGGATCGATCTATTTTTGCAAAAAACACTTAATCAAAAAATATATAATATAATATTGTTAGATTATAAATTTATTTATTGCTTAGGCAATGTACAATTCTTTACCAGTTTTTATTAATAATTCCAGGAAAATCTTCCAAATTGTCAAATCTACTCTCAAAATGTGTGGAAAATTGTCACGCGACTTTTTTAACAGATATATCCAAGTGACCGTTAGAAAAATTGTAAACATGAAGATCAAAAGACGAAACTGCAAAAATAGTTTACCTAATATAATTACACTGAGAAGTATGATTTATTTTTTTTCGAAAGAACAAAGGAAATTTAAGTGATCTCGCACAACTTACATGCAAAAGCAATGTCGAATAAGAAAAAAAAGCGAGTTTTACTTGATTTCGACTAGTCTCTGAAAAATTTTGAATGATATTATAAAATTTGTAGAAATTTACCAACACTTTTATTAACAGGTTTTTCTAATGAGCTTTAAAAATATTATTTGAAGTTGCAGACAATAAACTGTAAACACGTACGAGAAAATATAACTATATTCTTACGGATTGATCTGTTTTTTTAAAAAAACACTTAATCAAAAAATATATAATATAGTTTTGTTAGATTATAAATTTATTTATTGCTTAAACAATGTAAAATTCTTTACCAGTTTTTATTTATAATTCCAGGAAAATCTTTTAAATCGTCAAATCTACTCGCAAAATGTGTGGAAAAATTGTCAAGCGACTTTTTTAACAGATATATCCGAGTGACCGTTAGAAAAAGTGTAAACATGAAGATGAAAAGACGAAACTGCAAAAATAGTTTACCTAGCATAATTGCATTGAGAATTATGATTTACTTTTTTTTTTAAAAACAAAGGAAAATTAAGTGGGCATGCACAACTTACATGCAAAAGCAATGTCGAATAAGAAAAAAAAGCCAGGTATTTGACAGAGCCTTCGAACGCGCCCATGCCATAACTACGGTAGGCAGAGCTCCTCGAAAAAAATCAGATTTTGATATTTAATGAAGTGATTCTAAAAAGTTTTTGAGTGTATTGTGAACTGAATAGACAATATTCCTCTCGCAGATAAAGTTTTAGTGGAGATTTAACGTACATTGAAATTAAAAATTGAGAGATTCAAAGTTTAGAAGTTGTCTCAATTTTCAATATGGCGGATGCAAATGCAGATCCAAAAAGTTCGTCCAAGTCTTATGCTAAAGCAGTTTCTCCTGGTGACCAATCGTCAAATGATCAGTCAGTAAGTGAAGTTAAGCCAATCTTTATCTTGGAACAAGACTTATTTGGGACTAGTAAGCCCTCACAAGACCAGTACCTCACTCATATCGAGCTATACAGAGCTGTTGGTCATCTTGTAGACCCAAGCCACTTGAAAGGTTTACAAAGGGTTAGAGGATTGTGGAGATTATATTTTGACAATCATGAAGATCGAGATAAAACACTTACAAATGGTATTGTTCTTCGTAAAAAGCTTATACAAACATATGCTAGAAATCCCAAAACTGCTGAAAATGAAAATCTTAACAATGTTCGTGTAAGAATAAAAAATATACCTTGCTCAGCAGACGACGGCCAAATTCAAAGAGCCCTTGAGGTTGGTAACTGTGTTGTACATACATTATTTCGTGAAAGGCTAAGAGTTGATGGACGTGTGACAAATTGTCAAACTGGCGATCGCATTGCTATATGTGACCCAATACTTAATCCTTTGCCAGAAACTTTATTTATTGGTAAATACAGAGCAGTAGTTCTCCATCGAGGTCAGGTTGATACCCGTACAAATATTACATGTAATAAATGCCTACAAGAGGGACATAAATCTTTTGAGTGCCCAAATGACTGGGTGTGTCGAACATGTGGTGGCAGCGGTCATAAAGCAAGCTATTGCACTACTTGCCCAGATGATTGGGTATGTCAGACTTGTGGGAAATCTGGTCATACGGCAAAATACTGCAATGCAGACTCTGATTCTTCTAGCGAAGATAGCCAATCAGAATCTGAGTCAGATTCAGACATTTTCACCCATCCGAAAAGCTGTCAAAAGGAAAAGCCAAAAACAACCCAAGCAGATGATGCAGGAAAAAAAACCACCTAGCTTCACCTTCAATAAGCAGGCAAGTAATGATGTAGACAAACATGTCATGAACAATCCTGATGATCAATCCAAGCAAAGTGAGAAAAAAGCAAAACGACAAGTCAAAAAAGCTAAACGGGCAAAAAATAAAAAAGACAAACATAATATAAATAATGATCAGCCGAGCATGGAACGGTTCCTTGCAGAAGCATTTAGAACTCCATCAAATAAAACCAATGAAGAGCAAAAAACACGTACTAAACAAACAGCAAGTACTCCTACTGATGAGCTTCACAAGAGAGAAGAACCTGTGAAAAAAAAACTAAATCTTAAGCTCATCTAAATAATTACTATCAAATACTAATCTTCATGTTTTTTATATTGTATATATTGTATATATATCTTTGTTTACTTTGTATCATAAACATAGACTGTGTTTATCAGGTGAACAAAATCGTGATTTGTGAATGTGATGTCTATATTGTAGATCGCATACATTCAAAAAAGAATTATCAGCATATTTGTTTATTCAAAAATGTAGTAAATATAGCATATATGAAATTTGTAAATGAAAAATGTATAGATTATGAATTTAAAGTTGGTAAAACTGTTTGGATAAAAAATTTTGTTCCACGCACATCTCAAACGAATGAAATTTTTGTCATTGGTTGTAGCACTGAATTAACAAAATGCAAGATCACCATGGATAAAAAATTCACATTTACTTCACATAGTCATCCATAATTCTTTCATTGGCACACATTAACATGATTAATCCTTTGTCAAAAGAGATACTTGAAATCAAGTAAAAAACAGTCAGTCTCCTTTAATTGTAAGAGTACAATTCTCCAGATGTCCTTTCTACAGGATATAAACAGACAACTTATAAGAAACGGAAAACATCAGTTGAATTCACTAATCCAATAATATATCCTGAAACCACTACATATTTCCACACGGCTATGTTAAACATCAGAGAAATAGCCAAAAACATCCTCCTATTCTTGAGATTAAATATCACACACTCTTTCGTTGTACACATAGTTCAAGAATGTTGCACTTCAATTACAGACATTTGGTTAAAAATAATATTCTGTCGTACGATTTATTTCATATCTGAAAAAGAAAAATATAGTTGTAAATATACAAAAACTACCCAAGCTATTACAATTACAGTATGTGACAATTTTAATGTTTACAAAATACAAGATGTTTTCAGAAAGTCAGTAATGAAGCTAAAAATAGAAATTAACTTTACCTTTCCTATTTATAGGTCTAAAAATAACTTTGTACAGTTTATCTGGGTCACGATTCACAGAACAGGTTCTCACATTTTGATATATTTAAATAGATCGTTTAAGATATTAACAATTAAAATACTTTAGTATTATAATGAAAACAAAAAACCTTCACATTTGTTCACTAAATTGTCAAGGTTTAGCGAGAAAAGAAAAACGCTTTAGGTTATTTTCTTGGTTTCAACAACAGAAATGTGACATTTTAATGGCACAAGAAACTCATTTGTCAAAAGATATGATAAAGCAAATTAACAATGAATTCCATGGCAAACATCTTCATAGCCTAGGCACAACAAATTCGAAGGAAGTGTCTTTCTTTATTAACAAATCACTCGATTTTAAATTAATTAATGAATTTTGTGATAAAGAAGGGACAATTATCATAATCAATATGGAAATTCAAGACAAGATTTTCACCTTATTAAACTTGTATGCACCTAATGAAGTTCAGGCAAGAAACCAATTTTATAAAAAAGTAAGTAAATTAATTGAAGAACACACTCTTGGTGCTTTAATAGTAGGGGGAGATATGAATGATCTACTCTCAACTTTAGATACAAAGAATAATAAACTACATAAAAAGTTTAAAAAGCCAGTCAATGGTTTAAAACAATTAATTAAAACACACAAACTGATAGACATTTGGAGACAATTAAATAAAGATAAAAAACAATACACATGGAAAAGGAAAAATTCTACAAATGAAGCTAGTAGAATAGACTTTTTTATAATATGCACACAAGCACGCATAAATACTGTATCTGCTGATATCAGGCCAACACAAATTTCATTCACAGACCACCTAGGTATTTCGCTTAAATTAGACATTTATGCAAACAATCGTGGTAAGGGATACTTTAAAATGAATAATAGTATATTAACTGATACTCAGTATAATAAACTAATAAATAAGTTAATTGGAAAGTACGAGCAAAATTTTAATTTTAAGAATGTCCTAAATCAGTGGGACCTGCTTAAAATCCCTAGAAAAGAATAGGCAGGCTAATAAATCTATTAATAAATTAAAGACTAAAAACGGTGAGGTTACTGTTGATCAAAGTGAAATTTTAGATGTAAGTAAAGAGTATTATAAATCTCTGTACAAAAGCACGTGTCCTGAAACTGAAATTTTAAAGACATACATAGATAATACCCCCATTGATCACTCATTAAATCCTTGTGAAAGTAAACAAGTAGATGGTAAATTAACCTTAGAAGAGTTAACATCTTCTATTTATAATATGAAATTAAACAAAACTCCAGGAAAAGATGGTTTAACAATTGAGTTTTATCGACAATTTTGGACAAAATTAAAACATATTGTATTGAATGTTTCTAACACATGTTATGACAAAGAAACTCTATCTGATACCCAAAAGATTGGGATAATATCATTGATTTAAAAAAAAAGACCCTTTGTCCCTAGATAACTACCGTCCAATTACTTTGTTGAATACTGATGTAAAACTTATTACATATACTTTAGCACAAAGACTTAAAAAAATCTTACCCCTTATCATACACAGAGATCAAAAAGGTTATGTTAAAAATCGATATATAGGATTCAACGTACGTCTAATTCAAGATATTATAGATTATGCAGAACACTTTAATATTGATGGAGCTATACTATTTATTGACTTTTTAAAGCGTTCGACTCACTAGAATGGGACTTTATGCTGGAATCATTAAAAAAATTTGGATTTAACGAGTCTTTTCAAAAGTGGGTCAAAACACTATATCACGACATAAAAGGATTTATTTTAAATAACGGGTGGATCTCTGAAACCTTCGGGATTCAACGGGGAATTAGACAAGGATGCCCTTTAAGCGCTTTATTATTTTTTTTATCAGTCGAAATACTGGCTTGTAGAATAAGAGATAATAATGATCTGAAAGGGATACAAATAAAAATTGATAAAAAAACTCATAGCCTAAAAATCTCACAACTAGCAGATGATACAACTCTCTTTTTATGATCTAAAGATGAAATAAAACATGCACTAAATTTAATAGAAACTTTTGGATCTTTTTCGGGACTTAAACTCAATAGAAACAAAACAGAAGGTATATGGCTAGGTAAACTAAAACACTGCAAAAACAATTTTGAAAGTATCAATTGGAAAGATAAAGTGAAAAGTCTTGGTATTTATTTCGGCCTTAACAAAAAAGAATGTGAAACACTAAATATAGATAAACAGTTTGAAAAATCAGAAAGGATACTAAATGATTGGAAGAAAAGAAAATTGAGTATGATTGGAAAAATAACTATAATTAAAACACTAGTTATTCCCAATATAACATATGTTGCTTCATTGATAAATCTGAGCACTGAGATTATAAGTCAATTTAAAAAAATCTTATTTAATTTTTTATGGGAGGGTGGTAGCGAGAAAGTAAAACGCTCAGTGTTAAGAAAAAAATATATTGAAGGGGGATTACAAATGAAGGATATTGATGCATACATTGAGGCTATCAAAATAAATTGGGTTAAAAGATTAACTGATGAAACTTGTGCTAACTGGAAAATCATACCTACCTATTATTTCAGGGAGTTTGGGGAAAATAATTTAATATTTAAAATGAATCTTAATTCTCATAAGTCACTAGTAAACCTAAAAAACTTACCTACATTTTACTTTGAAATCTTGAAATGTTGGATTAAAAACGGAGGGGGGAAGACAAAAGTACCTGATAATTATAGAGATATTAGAAAGCAAGTTATATGGGGAAACCAATATATAAAAACACATGGCAAAAGTTTATATTTTAGTCATTGGGTAGAGGAAAACATAATTTTTGTTAATGATGTAATTGATGATAAAGGAGAAATTTCTCATAATGTATTACATAAACTTAAAAAGAAACAAAATTGGATCGCTGAACTGTGTACTCTTCGAAAAGCTTTACCCAAAAGTTGGATCCAAAAATTAAAGAGTAATATATCAAAATATACTAAAATCAACATAACAAAAGACATTAAAATGTTTTGTAATGGATTGTATTACAATCTAGACAAAATTAAGTTTAAAGAAATTTATAATATTATAATCAGGTCAAATAAAGAGCTTCCAGTAGGTTTTTGCTCATGGAAAAAACAATTATCATGCGAAAATGTTATTTATTTCATTAAGAAAAATCTATCTTTTACCTTTCTTTTTTTAAAAGATAATAGATTAAAAATGTTCAGATGGAAACTACTGCATAATATTTTAGCTATCAAACATAATCTGTACCGCTGGAAAGTAGTTAACAGCGAAAACTGTGAGATATGTTTCAAATCTGATAGCTATAATCATTTCTTCTTTGAATGCACATGGGTAAAAAATTATTGGACATTACTACACAAAATATTTATGTATCTCAATATTGGTCAACATATTTTTTGTCTTAAAAATCTTGTAATAGGATACAAAATTGAAGATGTTGAATATTATGTACTTAATCATATTATTACAATTGTTTGCTTTGTGATTTATAAATGCTTTTATTTATCAGAAAAGAGAACTAAATATGTGAATATGATGTCAGTCCTAAAAAATGAAATTGAAACACAAATTTTATATCATCCGAAAAATTCCTTTTTGAGAAAATTTATAACAAAAATCTTAGAAATTTGATTCTCTATCTGTTTTGTTTGCATTTGGATGACCTAGAATCACAAAAATATCATTGAAAGAAAAAGAAGAAAAATTTCTAAACAAAAACTGCTCCTTTAATTTTTGTTTAAATACCAGATATGGTATTGGTGTATTTGAATGATAAGATACTATCTAAAAACAATCGTAATTCAATTATACTGACCTCTTGATCCGATTAATCAGAAACCATGCTCTTTTACTTTCACATTTAAAATCCGAGATTAAAAGCTAAACAAAAGACGGTCAAAGTTACGTTTTCTATTTTATTGTATACATGCTTGTATAATTAATCTGTAAATTGTAACTAACACGTAATGCTATGTAGATTTATAAAACGTTTGCCAATGAAATCCCCTGGTTTTATTGGTAATTAACAATACAGGGAAGAACCTTAGTGCCATTGTTGTAACATTAAGGGGCTTTGTTAACAACTATTAGTGAAATAAAGTATCTGAAGTTGAAAAAAAAAAAAAAAAGAGAATTATGATTTATTTTTTTTTCAAAAAAACAAAGGAAAATTAAGTGGTAACGCACAACTTACATGCAAAAGCAATGTGAAATAAGAAAAAAAAAAGTTTTTCTTGATTTCGAGTAAAGTCTCCGAAAAATTTTGAATGATATTATCAAATTTGTAGAAACTTACCAACCCTTTTATCAACAGGTTTTTCTAATGAGCATTAAAAATACTATTTGAAGTTGCAGACAATAAACTGTAAACACGTACGAGAAAATATAACTATATTCTTACGGATTGATCTATTTTTGCAAAAAAACACTTAATCAAAGAATATATAATATAGTTTTGTTAGATTATAAATTTATTAATGACTTAAAAAAACACTTAATCAAAGAATATATAATATAGTTTTGTTAGATTATAAATTTATTAATGACTTAAACAATGTAAAATTCTTTACCATTTTTCCCAATATCCTTGTGTGATCTTCTTCGGTATGACTTTCTTAATAAATCTGTGTATTTTTTACTTTTTCTGAAAGAAAAGAAGGTTGTTTTAGCATTATACGGCATTGACCCTAATATCGCTATATTTATTAATTTTCAATTCAAAATGTGTAATAGATTTCTACAGTATACCTTCACAATATGAATGAAACATGATAACCTTCAATTACAATATACAGACCCCGTTAAAAAAATTAACAAAGTTTTCTAATGTCTAAAAGTGCATTTGAACTGAGAAGTTATGCAAAAATGTAGATTTTTACAAAAACCCTAATAAAATACTTAATTATTGTTACCACTGGAAATCTGGTAATTTGTACCTTCGAAACCACTCTAAACTGCTGTGAACGTCATTGTTATCATATAATTAAAGGGCAATGTAGTGCAAATTTCAAAAACTTTTCCTTTCACAATAATGCTACTAAGAAATACAGTTTTGTTTAATATATTTCATTAATTTGGTTTTTAGGTAAACATTACGACATATCACGTATTATGATGTCATAAAATAAAGACTGTTTGAAATAATGCTAAGCACAGTTTGCAGTGTAACATAACGAACAGTTGCCTAAGGCTTTAACTCAAAACTGTGTGTCGAAAAGATCAGTAACTAAGCATTCTTATGTATTATCAAGACCATAGCAACAGTTGTTTTACTCGCATATTTCTAACATCCAGACTGTAATTTCTTCGATTGCATAAATACCATAAATATGCAATAAAGAGCGTGATTAAAAAAATAAAGGGCTTACCAGTAATTCACAACTTTTAAAAAACCATAATTTGCCGTCTCGTGTTAAACTGGAATGATAATTCTGAAACTGAAATAAGACCTAAACAAAATAGATTCCGGTTGTTTTATCATTGCATTTGAATACAAACTGTATAATTGTGAGAAAAAAATTCAAATTCTTGAAAGTATTATCACAAAAAAGATTGATGTTTCCCCCTATTGGCTTCACAACATTCTTTTGGACCTTCTTTTTATGAGGAACAACCTAAGCTGAATAGTGGAAGCACTGTGTTTTAAAACGTTTGGCCTTCCCTCTTTTAAAAAGACACTATCTTGTAATTTATTGATGAGCATTAAAATACAACAATTCATGCATTTTTCAAATATTTGTGTGTTTATTTGAATGTTTTAGTGAACACCTGCTAATAAATGATCAAAGTATCGGTGTACAACAAATGTATCAAATAGTAATACGAAGTGTGTTATTTTCTTTGCATTATCAGCTATTCCTGTAGATTTGAATGATAATGGCATCAAAATGTCTTCTATATTACATGTTGACTTACAATTTAACAATATTAAATGTTTCCATAAGAAGTGATGTTAGTAAGTCTTTTACTTAGTCTATACCCTGTGCATTTTCAACGTTTAATGTAAACAAAGATTTTGATTGTGCCTAAAAGAAGTGCTCCAGTTCCGTGTCAGTTATACATTTCAAAAGCAAAAATATGTTGCTGTTCTTTAAAGATAATGTTAATCTAGAACCAACTGTGATAACTAACCTTCATTTTCATAATGTGTAAACTTGGATATGCATGATGGTTCATGAAGGTAAGACATTTTCACATATGTGGTTAAATTTTCGGGTACAAAGTGAGATTCGTTTTCACGTATTGTAGCACACACCGAAAAGCCCTTTGTGATGCTGCTTCTCGAGGTAAAAAATCCCTATTTTTTTAGTTTTTAGTATCTCAATTTGAGGCGCATTATGCATATTGACTCAAATGCGTAAGACTTTGAATTACAGTTTATCATTTTTCAGCATGGTTAATTTTATATCCATCATGGAAACATAGAAATAATTACTTTCAATAATATGGTGAAGTGTCAAAAATTTTGTATTTGGAGTATTTTATTTGAATTTATTGGTAATTATGTATGTCAAAAAAGATTAAACTGGTTAAATTGACTTCTTGATAAACGAAGGCTACGACACTACTAGTATGGTAAGCACAAAATATTCTCAAATGGGTAATTCTAGATTTGCTTTTGTGCAAAAAGCAAAATGTTTATGATGTATTACTTATTTTCTGGCTCGGAACCATGATTTGTGTGTATTCACACCAATGATCGTGTACGTTAAATCGAATTATATTCCCAGAACAATTAAATGATACACTATATAAATAAACTTATCATAGATACCAGGATTGACATTTTGTACGCATGACGCACGTTTTGTCTACAAAATACTCATCAGTGACGCTCGAATAAAAAAAGTTAAAAAGGCCAAATAAAGTACGAAGTTTTATTTGCTGTCATTATCTTAAAGCATAAATGTTCGACCAAAAATACAATCAGTGGTAGACATACATTAAACAAAAGAATTGACAAACTCTTGGTTAATTAAGTCTTCCAAGTAATCTATTGAGAGAACCGAAAATAATACCATAATTGTTAAACTGACAAAAATGTTTTTGAGATAGCTTGACACTTAGTTTGTATTTTAAAACATAAATACTCGGTGTATCATATTTGTACTTTGTACATAAAATGCAGTATTTATAAAATATGATATGAAATTAACACTATCATTCTGTTAACTCTTACATTTGTTAAATGTTCACGTTCATGTATATTTATATGTCTTTTAAAATTTTTTACTCAGAGCCAAGAACTGAAAAGTTTCCTTGCACGGTAAATCAATGTTTTAAAATAGGTAAATGCAGGTGTAGATTCGTGTTTGTAACGTTTACTATCGTGTATGACACAAATTATGCCGCTGAATAACTTTTACCGGTTTTCGTTCTCAATAAGGCTTGAACCTGTTATTGATACAAATGTCTTCTTTTATCTTTGAGTTCTATCATAACATTTAAACAAATGACGTATTAATGATAACTTCAGTCATCTTCAGTCATCTTTTTCATGCATTCTGTACAGGTATGCTGTTCGGTCTTGAGTATTATATGCATTTTACTGGGAACTTAATTAAATATCTTACACCAGTTTCCATGTACAAAACGGCATGTATAACAATATTTTCCAAATTTGACAGCAACAATTTGTCATATATGCAGTCAGGTGATATCAATTTACTGATTCGAGAATTCCTTCGTTACTGATTTATCTTACATTTTACTGTTCATGTCTTGAGACAAGGAAGACATATCTTCAGAGATTTTAATTTTAACTTGTTGTTTATGCAATCTACATCATGGACAATGTTCATGTCTTGAGACATACAATAAATGCCTTAAGACATTAAATCGAATTTTAAAACTATCTGTATATGGCATTTAATCGGTGGTTACTGATTTAAAAAAAAACAGACAAACCTGGTTCATGAATGAGTTCAAAAGTTTCATTCAAAGTGTGGCGGCAAAAAAAAGGTTGACGTCTCATGTAATGAAGACATAAGGCTATACCAGTATTGTAACCACAACACATATTCATATGGTTAATTCTTCGATTGTCTTTGTGCGAGAATTAAAATGTGTATGATGTACTTATAATTATCCCACTCATATTTTGAAGATAAAATGCAGTATAGATAAAATATCATCTATACCTACTGTTATCATTCTGTTAATTTGTAGATTTTTAATAATGGTTAAGCATTGTCACGTACATCTTTATTCATAGGTTTTTTTTATAATTTCTCACTCAGAGCAAAGAACTGTGTTTTCTGACAAGTGTACTCGCGACATGTGCGAGGTGAATCGAATTTTTAAATGATGTAAGTATATATAAAGATGATCATGCGTGTTCTTAACTTTTGTTATCGTATATGATGCGATTTACGCCACTGAATTACTTTTACAGGTGTTCCTCTAAATAGACGTGTACTTGATATTTTTCTACATAAAATGGTAGTCTTTTATCTTTGTGGTCTATTTTTGCATTTGTAAAATATTGCCATAAGCAGTTAGTTTTCTTGTTTGAATTGGTTTACATTTGTCATTTCGGAGCCTTTTATAGCTGACTATGCGGTATGGGTTTTACTCATTGTTGAAGGCTGTACGGTGACCTATAGTTGTTTATTTCTGTGTCACTTGGTCTCTTGTTGAGAGTTGTCTCATTGGCAATCATCATGATCATACCACATCTTCTTATTTTTATAAATAAAGAGTATTTTTGTCATCTATTTTATTCATTCTGTTTATCTGTAACGTTGGATTTCTATTAATAACAAATATTAGCAGAACTTTAGCAGCACACATGTTTTTAAAACTTGGCATGACATTTTATTAAATCTGCAGACACGTAATCAAATTCACCTTTACAGGTATGCATGTATGAAAAATGAGAATCCCTACGAAACCGCGTGGGCTTACATCATACTGATCATGTCCTGAGACTTGGTATAATGTATTAAGACGTTTAATTCCAGTTTATTATATGTATACATTTTTCAGCAGGATCTATTTTTAATACATCATTCACAATGTCCATGTCTTGAGACACACATAATATCATGAATATCTTAAGATATACAGTTGAACTGTAAAAATATTTGTAATCGGGGTATTCTACTGGAATTATGGCGATAGTTCTTGATTTCAAAAACAGATTAAATTGGTTCCTGAATGAGTTCAAAATTTTAAGTCATAATGTTACGTCGATAAACAGATTGACGTACCATGCAATGAATGGATACGACAACATTAGTATTGTAACCACAACACATACTCATTTGACTAATATTTAGATTGTGGTTGTGTAAGAAGCCAAATGTGTATGATGTATAAATTAATATCGTACCCCGAACCATGAACTGTTTCTATACACACATATAAACGTGTGCGTTAAATCGCTATTCCAGGAACCATTTAATGATACACTATAACGTGTTCACTGTGTAGTGTTTACTGTTTCTATCATACCGTATGAAACTAATACCTCACTACATATGTTTTATCTGTTGTCATTATCTTTTAAAAAATAAATACATGTTCCATCAAATGTTTAAAATTAGGGCAAACATATTTTATAATGTTTACATACTAAACATTAATATCTGTGTGTTTTCGACTATTTACTTTTATTTTTTATGAGATAATGACGTTAAACAAAAATATTGATAAACTTTTAATTAGTTAAATATTCTATGATTTTTTTATTGAAAATAAAAAAAAATGCCAAAATACTAAGCTTTACAAAAATATCGTTTACCTTGAGAAAAAAGTATGTTGACACTTATTTGTTGTTTAAAGGACTTGCCTTATCTGTGAATCATATTTGTATTTTGAAGATAAAATGCAGTACTATAAAATATGATATGAAATTAACCTAATCATTGTTTTTATTTATAGATTTATATAATGTTTAAACGTTGTCAGGTACATGTATATTCATATTTTTTTTAATTTCTCAATCAGGGCCAGGAACTGTGTTTTCTGACTAGTGTAATTACACGGTGAATCGAGTTTTCAAGAAATGTAAGTATATACAAAGACGTACATGCGTGTTCTTAACCTTTGTTATCGTGTATGATGCAATTTACACAACTGAGTTACTGTGAATTTCATTATTATTCTTTGGATACCAATTTTCGCGGATTTCGTGGGTACAAGTGAACCACGAATTTAAAAGAGAGGCGAAAGATACCAAAGGGACATTCAAACTCATAAGTTGAAAATAAACTGACAACGACATGGCTTAAAAAGAAAAAGACCAACAGACAAACAATAGTACACAAACACAACATCGAAAATTAAAGACTGAGCAACACAAACCCCATCAAAAACTGGGGGTGATCTCAGGTGCTCCGGAAGGGTAAGCAGATCTTGCTCCACATGTAGCACCCGTCGTGTTGCTCATGTTAGTACGAACCCAGTAATAAGTCTAACTCGGTAGGTCACATTCGGGGGAAAGGGGACGGGATTGTAGTAACGACATTTAGAACATACCCGCTATCATCTGTGAAACGGATATTCCATAACGGTCAACCAACTCGTGATGGCGTCCGTAAAATTTACGAAGGGATGATTTCAACTTCACCACTTGGAACTCTTGGTTTAATAGCTTCCTTGTGAGCAGACACCCTCTATCAAGGAAATCATGATAGGAAATACAAGCCCTGGAATATCGTATCAACTTGGAGATATTTACTCCGTATGCAGGCGCTACTAGAATGTTGCTACAACGAAATGGAAAGTTCACAATTGGGAAGCTGAAATCATCTCTTTTGTCGTAAAGTTCTGTTTTCAACAGATTCTCATTGTAAATTTCTAGATGTAAGTCAAGATATAAGGCAGACTTAACTGTTTCTATTGTATTCCTTATTTCAAGTTCGATGGGATAAATGCGTTCAACATAGTCACAAAATTTTGAATTATTTAGCGAGAGAACATCATCTATATAGTGGAAAGTGAAGTTAAAGGATACTGCTATCTTCTTTTTTTCTTCCTAAAAAATTCCTATATGAAGTCAGCCTCATATGAATAAAGGAACAAGTCGGCAAGAAGAGGGGCACAGTTGGTACCCATGGGAATGCCGATTGTTAGCTGAAAAACACGTCCTCCAAACGTAACAAATATGTAGTCAATCAAGAAATCAAGCATCGTGATAATGACACCTGTTTTTATAGTTTGTTTTTATGTTGTGCTTTAACACAACTGTCCCAGGCTCTGGGGAGGGTTGAGTGCTCACAAACATGTTTAACCCCGCCACATTCTTTATGTGCCTGTCCCAAGTCAGGAGCCTGTAGTTTAGTGGTTGTCGTTGGTTCATTATTATCATATTTGTTTTTTTGTAAATTGTTTTGTTATAAATTAGGCCGTTAGTTTCCTCAATTGAATTGTTTCATATTTTTCATGTCGGGGC